TTATTTTTTTAATAATAAATTATATTTTATCACATATTTTATCATATTTTATTATATTTTATTATATTTTATCTTAATTTTGATTTTATTTTTCATTTTTCGTTTTTAAAAAATTGAACTAAAACCAAACCAAAATTATTTGATTAATATAAAAATTAAAACAATAAAAACCAAAAATTATTTAAACTAAACCAAATTTATTTTTTTGGTTTGATTTTTGGATAAACCATCGATTCGATTTCAAATGCCTAGGGCTAGCCAAAATCATGAAGGAAGATTCCGAAACCTCTAGTTCTCCAGTCAAGTTAGTGTAGACGACAGCAAACCTATCTGTCTTTACCTACCGATCAAACAAGGAAAAAAATAAAAAAACAAAAATCAAACGAACAGACCTTAAATATTTATACTTTACCACATTTTGATTGCATATTTCTCACAAACAGTTGTGTTTTACATTTGCTATATAGGTGTCATTAAAATCCTTGTGTTTTGGAGCTTTTCCGTTGATATGTTATACATAATTTTAGGGCTCGTGGTAAAAGAATTATTTGTGTTTAAAAGTCTGAAAAAGTATTAGTAAAAATTTTTTCCCCGCTGAAAATGCAAGATAGATGCAAGTTGCAATTGCAGAGAAAATCTACCATAACCCAATCAAACACTTCCAGCTCAGAATGGTGAGATCAGCATGGCGTGCGTAGTCGACAAATTGGGTCTGCTTTCTGACAGTCTCTCCCACTGGATCAACCACTTTTTTAAGATTATCCAAGTGCTCTGTCGAAGAGAATCTAGGAACTTATGATTAGGTTTTTTTTTTTTTGGACCTTTTTTTAAGATCAAAATCATTACCAGAAGTCCACTATTTCTTCGGTGTTGGACTGTTGGTTACCAAAATTTCAATTTTATGATTTTGGTTTTGGTATTCATCGATTATTTAGCATGATGCGTTTGCAGGGATGAAAGGGAAATTGAAGAAGATGCTGGACTACAAACAATGAGTAGATATAAGGGGAGAATGCACAAAAATGAAGGAAAAAACAGCAACAATGGCTTAGGCCAAAGACATTAATAAGAGTAGGGGGTATGAACTATGAAGGATTACATTTTAAAGTTTTTACTGGATTTTTTAGATAGACTTAAACCTTAACGGACTTAACCCTAGACTAGGATAAAAAAATATAAGGTAAAGTTAAAGGGCCAAGATGAATGACTACAACTAAGAGAGAAATCTAATGATAAAATTTTTAAGGGAATATAATAATAATAAATTATAAATAAAAGTAAAATAAAGTATAGATAAGAATTAGATTTTGAATTTTCAATAAATTTTGAATTTAAATGTTAAATTATAATATACTTTTTAAAGGATATCTGTCAATTAATTATTAAAAAATATTGATATTTAAGATATTAAAAAAAATTATTTCTTATTAATATACTTCGGTTATAGATTTGATTTTTAGTTTTCAAACACTTGAACTAAAAATCAACCAAATTATTTTTGAGAATAACCAAAATCAATA